TAGGAGTCTCACGGTCTCTCCTGCCCGGGCTGGCTTTGAACCGCGATCCTCAGATCTCAGCCTCCTGAGTAGCTAGGATTACAGGCGTGAGCCACCAGCGAAGAATGAGAATTTTGTATGTGACCTGAGTTCAAAAACTGAGATGGATGGTGATACTATGAAATACGTGTTTGGTTTTTGTCCTTTATCTTGGCCTATCTTTCCTAAAGGCCTTGGAGTGTCCAAAGTGACATTGTCTTTCGATGCTAATGCCTGAGTGACAAGCTGGCAGCTCCTAGGTAGCTTCAGACCGAAGCAGGAGCAGATGTTTGGAACTTTCAGCTCCACATCATCACCCCAACCTCTGGGAAGAGCATTATGCTAAAGGCTAGGCTGATTGAGAATGATCAGTGATAAAATCAATCATATTCATATTATGGCAGTTCCAGAAAGCCACAAAAGGACATTGTTTGGAGAACTTCTGGATACCTGAACAGAAAGAGGAGCTTGCACTCTTAACTAAAATCATCTGCAAAACTCTCTGAACATCTCTTGTATAGTATATGTACCAGGCATGGCCATGTCTTCTTCTTGAGGGCAGATGGCGAGGGAGGAGTGCAGCCAGGTAATGATTAGTGTCCTTATCTCAGTGTCCCATGCGGTCTCACCTGGAGCCACTAGTGGATCCTGTTAACGCTGGCTAAGCAACTCAATCAATAAATAGCAAGCTAATAGCTAGAGAAGGGTAAGTGCTGGATACAGGCTCCTGCATAGCTCTGCCCACCCTCCCGTATTCTGGTGGTCCTGGCATCTTGATTGCTTCTATCAGCTTTCTTCTCCACTGCCATGGATCTTTGTGGCCATGGGGGAAAAAATAGCTAGTTATCAGTTTAAAACAAAACGCTAGTGGGAACAATGGACAGACCACAAGAACCGGCATTTGATTTAGTTCCTCTATGCAATCTATGCAAGGTACTTAGCTTTTCAGCTTAGTTTCTTTCTGGGTACAATGGAAACCAAAACTGGCATACCATGTGACTGAGCTATTCTAGATGGAGCCTGGCATGAATCAATCATTTTGAAGGGCTCAATCATGGGGTGCCATTTCTCATCAATAGAAACTAAGCTTGCAATCATTTCTGTTGAGCTCTGGGGCTTTTTGAGAGCTGGTGTTCATTATGGATACATGGGGTAGCCAGCGAGTCTGTAAGCCCTTCCCTCCCAAGCTCCACACTCTGCAATCTCTCTCTCTCTCTCGCTGTTTCTTTTTTTTTTTGTCAGTTCTGGGGCTTGAACTCAGGGTTGGGGTGCTGTCCCTCAGCTCTTTAGCTCAAGGCTAGTGCTCTCCCATGAGCTACAGCACCACTTCTGGCTTTTTCTGTTTATGTGGTGCTGAGGAACCGAACCCAGGGCCTCATGAATGCAAGGCAAGCATTCTACCACCGAGCCACCTTCCCAGCCCTGCGCTCTCTGTCTCTCTTTGTCTCTGTCTCTGTCTCTGCCTGTCTCTCTGTCTCTGTCTCTCTCTGTCGGTTGAATTCTGGGCCTGGGTACTGTCCCTGAGCTCTTTTGTTCAAGGCTAGCACTCCAGAGCTTTGAGTCACAGCTCTATTCCCTTGCTCTCTTTCTTCCTGGTTTTGGCCTCATCTCCTCTGACTGCCCTCACGATTCCCAGGGGCTGCACCGTGGGTAGTGGGAGATGGAGGCTGGGCAGAGGGGGCTCACCAAGGCTCCTTCCAAGCAGGTGGCATAGTTATAGCCCCGCCCCATCACCAGGAGCGACCTCTGTGTGTAGAGCTCCAGGGCCAGGTCATGGATCTTCTCATCCAGCGACAACACTTCCTTGATCAGCTCTAAGTCAAGCACAAGGAACACGGAGACAGCCAGTCATTTTCTGATTTCAAAACAATATTCAGAGAGAAAATTCTGGGGCATACCATAAGGTTTGAGAACACATACCCCTTAAAAGGTTTGGTATCCTTGGATTGGTTTAGATGGTTCTACACTTAGATTGTGGGAAATGGCTTGTATTACTGGCCAGGAATTTGTTAGGGGAATGGTAGCTCCTAGCTGTGTGAATACATTCTTGAGTACCTATAAGGTAGGAGGGAAACTACAATTTCTAGATCTATTTTTCAGGAAGAGAACTGAGCCCACAGAGACAAAATCACCAGCCAGCAAGACATACAACTGACACTCCAATGAACACCCCTCTTCCTGCCATGTACTATGATTCAAAGCAAAACCAGTGTAAGTTAGACCAGTGGTACCCAACCTTTCCAGTCCCAGAACTTCACACATTTTAAAATTATTACAATCCCTATGAGCCTCTTCTTTTGTGTACTGGGTTTCATTACTTACTACATTAGAAAGTAACACTAGGTGCTGGGAATGTGGCTTAGCGGTAGAGTGCTTGCCTAGCATTCATGAAGCCCTGGGTTTGATTCCTCATGTACCACATACACAGAAAAAGCCAGAGGTGGTGCTGTGGCTCAAGTGGTAGAGTGCTAACCTTGAGCAAAAGAAGCTCAGGGACAGTGCCCAGGCCCTGAGTTCAAGCCCCATGACTGGCAAAATTTTTAAAAAGGTACTTTTAGTCATTAAAAAAAATAAAGGGATGACATTGTCCAAAAGAGAAATGTACACATTACCTACCTGCATTGTGAAGTGGCAACCTCTCTAAACAATACCTTAAATATAAATAATAATAATAATAAAATTATATTTTAACATAACAAACCCATTACATTTTTATATTTTCAGGAAAAAAAAACAGAGAAAAGTGGTATTGTTTAACATTTTTTTTCTCCTTTTCAGTACTAGGTATTAAACCCAGGGCCTCTTGTTTGCTAGGCAAAGACTCCATCAGGTAGCCAATATGTAGGCCACATCTTCAACCTAATGTCTGACTTTTGTGTGTACTGGTAGTGGGGCTTGAACTCTGGGCCCAGCACTCTCCCTTAGCTTTCTTGCTCAAGGCTGCCACTCTACCACTTGAGCCACACCTCCTACTTCTGATTTTTTTTTTATCCCAGTTAACTGGGGATAAGAATCTCTTGAATCTGTCTGCAAATTTTCTAAAAATGGATGCATTTCATTATAAAGTATATTTAGGAAATCACATTTGTTAAAATTAGCCTGATTTCAGGGAAGTCGCTAAATGTTGGGAGGTAGTCAATCTCAGGATGGTAGCTACAAGTCTCCCCACCCCCAACCCTCACAATTCTAAGTTTTTAGTGAAAATTTGATGTTAAAATTAATTGGCAATATTTGTTGCCAATTTAGTGCTCTTGAAATGTCAAGTTAACTTTGTCATTTTTGAGTAAATATCTGCCAAGTACTGGAATTAGCTTTCTACGCATGGCCTAAGCCACCAGGGAGGAGGAGGGGGCCGGATGAGGTCAGAGCAACAGGGGCCCAGTGGAGGGCTCCAGGGCCTGGTGAAGAGGGCAGGCTTTAATCTTGGCCCAGTGAGAGCTGCCAGAGGGCTTAGCAGTGGTAGAAGTTCTAGATGGAGAGTGATTAACAGCAGTGATTACAGGAGACAGTCAAATAAGAGAGTGGCCAAGTATCGTCACTGGATTTGATTAGAGGGGAGGTTGTGTGTGGTAGTGCATGCCTGTAATCACCGTGGAGGCAGGGGATTGAGAGTTCAGTGCCATCCTGGGCTATCTAGCAAGGCATTGTCTTTAAGATAGAAGAAAGAGCTGGGTGCTTGTGGCTCGGGCCAGTAAACCTAACTACACAGGAGGCTGAGATCTGGGAATCGCAAAGCCAGCCTGGGCAGGGATTTCCATGAGACTTTTATTTCCAAGTTGTCACCAAAAAGATGGAATTGGAGCTATGGCTCAAGTGGTAGAGCACCAGCCTTGGGCAAAAAAGCTAAGGGATAGCACCCAGGCCCTGAGTTCAAGCCCCAGTACTAATACAAAAAATAGGGAGGAAAGGAGGAAAGAAGCAAGGAAGGAAGGGAAAGGAATGAGGGAGGGAAGAAAAAGAGGGAGGGAATGAGGGAGGGAAGGAAGGAGGGAGGGAAGGAGGGAGGGAAGGAGGGAGGGAAGGAAGGAAGGAAGGAAGGAAGGAAGGAAGGAAGGAAGGAAGGCTTCAAGGAAGGGTTAATTCTGGAACATACCAGGTAAAGATTTCAGGCCACGAATGATCTCTTGTCTCCTGTTTTGTAGAGAAATTCTGTCTTCAGACATCATCAAACCAAACATCACCAAAGAGATGAACTGGCTGGTGTAAGCCTGTCAGAAGGAATGTGGCAAAGATTTGAAAATATTTGTCTCAGAGATGATTGAAGCACTGAAGGACAACACAAAGACCAGAAAATGATAATGAACAAAAGGAGAATAAATAAGGAGAAAAAATGGGGGTAGCAAGGGCGATAAGATGAAGAAGGAAGAGAGGGGGGAGAAAAAGATGGAGAGCGGATGGAAGGAAGGGAACGAGGAAGGACGGGAAGGGAGGAAAGAATGAATGAAGAAAGGAAGGAAGGAAGGAAGGGATCAAAGAGAAGAGGCTCTTGGTAGAGCTGGGTACAATTTGCTCCCGTGGGTCCAAGGAGAGCACAGCACCAGTCAGGCCCTCCCCATCCCCCACCCAGCCAGCCCAGCCTCTCCCAAGAAGAGGATAGATGCCTCCTACCTTGGTACTGGCCACACCGATCTCTGGCCCAGCATTGATGTGAACGCCACAATCGGTCTCTCGGGAGATGGAGCTGCCCACAGTGTTGGTGACACCCACAGTCAGGGCTCGGCGGTCCTTACAGTAGCGCAGAGCCAAGAGTGTGTCTGCAGTCTCTCCTGTCACACAAGGGCCCTTTCAGTGCATGTCAGCCACGTTCAGGCGCTCTGCCAGCCTCCTACCCTGCCCCTTCCCTAACTCCTCAGCCAGCCTTCAACAGAAAATGCACATTCAACATCCCTCCCTTCCCTGTTGATTGGCTATGCAGTTGGGGCAAAGGCACCTCTCCCGTGGAGGTTGGAGCAGCCCGACATGCAGGCCCCTAGATATCACATCACCATGGCCTTGAGCAGTCTTGATATGATTGTGTCATTGCCCCTGCAAGACTTGCACATGAACTATGGACTAATTGGACTGCAGAGTAGACCCCTAGTCAGAGGGGCTGAAGGATGCGTGGAGAGCTTGCGCAGGCTGTGTGTGAAGCCTCTGATTGGATCTGGGGACTGATAGGGCCTAAAGGCCTTCCAATAATCTTGAGAGTCCTGCGGTTCTCTCCTGGGAAGATCTTATCGGCCCTTGAAGAATGCCCATCAGATTCCCTCCCTTCTGACCAGCAGGAGTTCTGTTTATCTTTTTCTTCAGCAAACCTTTGCCATTTTACTTTTCCCACTGTGTCCATGAACTCATTCCTTGGGAACCACAGAGACAAAGGACCTGATCCAGGTGTTCCAGGTTTTTCAGTTATCAGTCTGACAGATCAGACATTGAAGAAGCAAAACCACCCACAAGGTGTTTCCTCAAATAGACCTTGTTTGATAGGACACATCTCTTGCAGCTTCCCAATGGGGACTCAAATAGTTTTTCTTAATAAAGCTACTTCAGTGGGCTTATGCATAAAAGCCAGCATAAGCACCCTGGGTTCTCAACTAAATTAAACATGAGCCACACCATAAAATCAAAACCATTAAGGTCACGAGTCTCTGGATGCTGTTCCATCCACATGGTTGCAGCCCTTGGCTGTGTTTATCCTGGCTTTTCTGCAGTGTTAATTGCAGACACCATGTGCTGTTCGATGGCTCAATTCTTTCCCTTCTTGTCTTTGGACATCTGGGTTTAGCACACTGGAGTGTCACGTGTGGCCTTGCTCAGCACCAGTGATGGGGTGGGAGGGGAAATACCTTCATAAGCCCCACCCCCTAATTTGAATAGTCCCCCTCACCATTTCTTTATAGAGCTGAACACTTCTGTACAGACACTCAGGGGTCAGCCAGGGGGACTGCTTTCACATGAGACTCAACTCTGTTATTTTGTTCATAGCTCATGAACTGTTTTTCAAGCTCTGCTGGGATCATCAGCTCAAAGGCAACCATAGCAACCCCAGACAGTAGGTATGACCACATTAGTTTTTCTTAGCTAGTCACCAAAGTGGAAATGGTATTTTAAAAAAGTGGAAACTAGGAGCAGTATTAAAAGCCACTGTGGATATTACAGTGTCACTGTCAACTTTTCCACCAGGATAAGGACATGGGGCTTCGGGGTTATTTTTTTCTTTTTATCATTTTCATCAGACATTCTGGAGAACTTATGGAGGAAATGACATGACGTCTGGCATTGGCTTCAAAATAATCCAGAGGACTGGGGAGGGGCTGGATAAAGATCACACAAGATCTTCTGAGTTGGTCCTTGCTGAAGCCAGACAACTCATTCATTATATGCATCTCTCTACTTTTTATAAAAGTTTGGAATTCTTCATAACTAAAATATTTCAAAAATCCTCAGAGGGCTCAGGGGGGCTCCAGACATATGCCAGACCCTGGCTGAGTATCTCACTGGGCCAAGAGCAAATATTCCTGCCTAGTGTGTTGGTCTGGTACCCTGGCAGGATTGACTCAGAACAATCTCTCTCCATGCCTCCCCCCCTGCTGGATATTGTAGGCACTGCACACAGAGAAGAGTTGGGTCTGGGGCACAAAAACCCACACAAAAAGAATTTTGAAGGAGGTTGTTTTTTTGTTGTTGTTTTGTTTTCTTTCTCCACTAAAACTCAGAAAATGTTGATGAGTGCCTTGGAAGTGAGGTGAGAGGAACTGAGGGGCTGGTGGGGGGGGGAGGGGAAGACCTGGATTCTCAGCCCACCTGTAGCTCCATTATAACCTTGGCTACCTGTCCTCCTTATACAAGGGCGACAGTAATCAATGCCTTTGGGGGTTAAGTGAGCCAATGTCTGAGCGCATACATGGCACATGGAAGGTATACAGAGGGTTGACTGGAAGGGAGCGTGACATACTGTATGACACAGAGAAAAGAGAGCCCAGAGACGAACTAACACAAACCTGAACACACTGCCTGTATCCCTTACCTGACTGGCTTATGAAAAAGCAAACATCATCCCTGAACACGGGTGTGTTCCTGTCCAGAAAATCGCTGGCGAGTTCCACCATCACCGGGAGCTCTGTCAGTTCCTCTAACACTTGCCGGGTCTAGAGGGAAAAACATGAAAGGCTAAAAGTCAGCCGTGGGCCCCACGGGGACAGTGTGTAACATGGCGCCTTCCTGTTCAGGTAGCAGGCGACTTGAGTCATTCATAGAGGCCACCTTGAAGAAAAGGCTCAATGTGACAGGTTTTTTGTGTTGGTATTAGGGCTTGAACTCAGGGCCAGGGTGCTGTCCCTTATCTTATTCACTCAAAGCTGATGCTCTACCACTTGAGCTACAGCTCCACTTCTGGCTTTTTGGTGGTTAATGGGAGATAAAAGTCTCTCAGATTTTTTGGCTCAACTTGGTTTCGAACCACGATTCCTCAGATCTCAACCTCCTGAGTAACTAGGATTACAAGAGTGAGCCACATAGGGCCTGACTCAGTGTCACTTCATAAGCTGAGCTGTGGGAATGGATTCCAGGGTTTTGCCAAATCCATAAGGTCACTGTATGATGGAATTTAAGGTCTCACCTACAATGTCTCACACAGTTGCCCCTTTGCTCCCTGAGTCAAAGGTCCAGCGTATACTTACGGCCACAGCAGCATGGTAGCTGGTCCCACAGCCAATGACGATGAGCCTCCTGCATCTTCGAATCTCCTTCAAATGGTCCTTCAAGCCGCCCAGGAGCACTGCAGGACACAGGGCAGGCAGGGTGTCAATGCTGAGTCTACACAGTGACTTCATTCAATAGCACAGGACTCATATGGGGTGCCCCACTGAATACTGCTGGGATTACCTGTGTTGGTTTCAAAATTCACCCGACCTCTCATTGTATTGAAGACTGATTCTGGCTGTTCGAAGATCTCTTTCTGCATAAAGGCACTGAAGTTACCTGGTCAAATAATGGGAAGGAGCTGGGTGAGTTTTCATTTGGATGCATTTCTACTGCTTAGCTTTTAATTAGGAAAAACCTGGCACCAAGTCTTTTGTATAACCTTCTGCCATTGTGTCATTACTCAGGAGTGACCACGACACCTGTCAAGCCCACCACAGGTCCCGGAGGGTGTCGGCAGGTATTGTCCTCCTTGCCTCTGAGTGACAAATCAGACAGAAGTAGGTCAAGTACAATGATTATCTGCAACCTACATATTAGACCCTGCAGCCGGAGGAGGGCTGGGCTTTATTTGAGACATGTAAGGAAGGAAAGGTGTGACTGGTTCCCCTGGACTATGCTCCCATTAACAGGGCCAGAAGGAAGTAAAATGCCTTATTTCCAAAAAGCCACCCACTTAGAGAAGTCCAAATGAAACAAAGCCAAAGAAAGAGGCATCCCCCCCCCCTTCTGTAGTTCAGACAAACAAACCCTAACCAAAGTCAATTCCAAAACGTTTCCAGCCACACATGCATTTCTGGGGCTCTGAGCTGAATGGGACTGGATGATCACCAAGTACTGCATCTGACTGCAGAACAAGCAGGCCCCTGACGGTTCAGAGATAGGCAGGCAGTGTTCTTCCATCTCTGCTGCCTGTGATTAGGAAGTGAACACAAGGACCCTCAGGTAGGCAAGCAGTTGGCTTGCCTGTGTAACAGGCAGCCTGGTCAGGTCTGGAATGGCAGGGGGTTGAGGATGGTGGGGAGAGGCTTTGGCTCAGGTGGGAGTGGGGAGGGAGGGAGTTGTAGGCAGCAGCAGGGGGGTTGGATTTTAGTCTAAGAGTGTCGGGAAGCCATTAGAGGACTTTAGAGCAGGTGGTAGCAGGGACAGTTTCATGTTCCTAAGAATTTACTCAAAGCTGGGGCAGGGGTTGGGGATTGAGGGGGAGGCATAAACAGGAAGATTCTTTAGTTCAGGCTAACCTAGGCAAAAATCAAGACTCTATTTTAAAAAGAACCTGATAAAGCGGCTTATGTGACCCAGGCCTATAATTCTAGCTTCTCGGAGACTGAGATTTGGGAAGATCATAGTTTAAGAGCAGCCTGGGCATATAAGTCTGATACCCCTTTTCATCCGAGGGCTGGGTGTGGTGCTGTATACCGGTTATCCTAGCTATGAAGAGAAGGCTAACACAGGTGAATCACAGCGCAGGTGTACACCTGAGCAGAACATGAGACCTTAGCTCAAAAATAATCATTATAGAAAAGCTTGGTGGTAAGAGCACCTGTCTTGCAAGTGAAAAGCCCTGAGTTCAAACCCACAGCACTGCCAAAAGAAACAAACAAAAGCTTTACTCAGCCTGCCCTATGAAAGTAGAGATTGTTGAAGACAAAAGTGGGTGCTCAACAGCCAAGTGTGGGAGCGCACACCTGTAATGCCAGCATTCAGAAACCCGAAACCAGGAGGATTCAAAGTTAGAAGGCAATCTGGGCTACATACAACCTCCCATTACTACAGACCTCTTGCTCTTGAGGATAAAGGGTGACAAAGGAAGATAGAAACATATGCCAGGGAACCAGGGCACAGGGTCGCAGGCTAAGCTCTCCACGGCCTCTTAGCTGGGCAAGTTACAGGCCACCTGCAGTCCTTCTCCAGTAGCCAATGGCTGTGTGGACAACAGCTCCCCTCCACCCTATCAGGAGCACCTTCTCCAGGAGGCTGCTGCTCCTGAGCGCTCAGAGGACACCTGCCTTTCATGATTTGCTGCAATTCCATCTGCAAGGTCTGAATGGCTCGAGATGGATCGTCGCTAGCTGAGCGCTTGATTCGATGAATGGAGAGTTTCCCATCAGCCACTGCAGCAATGTCATCGTCCTCCAGGAAGATGACCCGGTTGGTATGTTCTATGATGGCGCTGGAGTGAGGGAAGAACAAACATCAAGATTGACACCCCCCAGGCCTTCACTGCAACTGGGAGGCGGTCACTCACGGTCTCCCAATATGAGATCCGTCTTAGTGGCACAGCTAAAATCTGCAGGACATTCACCGCAGGTGAATCTCTCTCTTCCCCCAATCTCTCTCTCTTCTCTCTTCAGAATTAATTGGCAGCCAGTGAAGGTCTAACCCTCATCTTAACTCATTGGAAATGTAGGAAAACATTGTATCATTTTTGCCTCTGTAAACATTTTGCTTATATCTCTGGAAGATAATGAGTATTTTTTGAACCTACCATAAGACTGACATCATATTTCTCAAATTTCTCTAAATAACCTCACAGATGTCTTTTTTTGTTTTTGTTTTTTGTAAATCACTGGTTTCTTCAAATTGGGAGCTGTTGAGTTTACAGATTAACTTGGAGGAAGAAGCAAGATCTTGAAACAAATGATTCTAAATCATTAAAAGTTTAGTCAGTTGCTTGTGGCTCATGCCTATAATCCTATCTACTCAGGAGGCTGAGATCTGAGGATCACAGTTGAAAGTCAGCTCTGATAGCCAAGTCAAGTCCATGAGCCTCTTATCTCCAATTAAATCACAGAAAAAGCTGGAAGTGGCTCTGTGGCTCTAGTGGTAAAGCACTAGCCTTGAGCACAAAGGCTCAGGGACAGTACCCAGACTCAGGCATAGAGTTCTAGCCCCAGAACTGGCCTAAAAAAACAAAAATAAATTAAAAGTGACGTTAAAACTTTCTACAAAGAATGTGGAATCTGTGCCTTTGCTCAAATCTCTTCTTTCACACTATAGTATTTTCTTTTTGTTCAAGACTGTGATTTGAACTCTTGATCTGATGCGTTCACTCACTGGCTGACAGTCTACCACCTGAGCCACGCCTCCATCCATCCTCTCATCATAAACTTTTGTAGTGTTTTGTTCTTGGGCTATTGGTGTTGAGATTTACTCTAAAGAATGTATTTTCAGTTGTCGTGAATATGTTGCTTGTTTTATTCAATAAAATTCTGAGAGCTGGGTGCAAGTAGCTCCTGCTTATAATTCTAGCTATTCAGGAGACTGAAAACTGAAGATCCTGGTTCAAAGCCAGCCCAGACAGGAAAGTCTGGAGACTCTCATCTCCCAATAACAAGCAAAAAGTTGGAAATGGAGCTGTGGCTCAGGAGTGTTAGCCTTGAGTGGAAAAAGCTAAGGGACAGTGCCCAGGCCCTATGTTCAAGCTCCTGAACTGGCACCAAAAAGAGTTTGCTGATTTGTCAGCCTGCAGTGCTGGTTCTGTAAGGAGATACTAGAAGAAATAAGGTAAATGCAAAACCAGCCTAGGCAGCTGGTAGCACAGTGGCTATTTCAGCATCTTTTATTTTCTAACCAGCTGCCAGTATTAGTTCTAACAGCCCTTTGGTAGGATTTAAAATGTGTATAATTACATTGCCTATAAATACTCATTTCATCTTCTTTCAGACACTTATGCCTTTTCTAGTTTGAAAAACATCTCCCATATTTCATCGAATATAAGATAACATTGATTTGTAAGGTCACAATCATTCTGTATGCTTCTATGAAGTAAAAACTCCATCAAATAATAATTGCAAGCTGTCACTTATGGGTGTAAAAATCTGAAATAATTGTTTGTGTGTGTGTGTGTGTTTGTGTGTGTTAGAATCATTGAAATAACCTGAGCTTCTCACTGACATGGTCCTGCTTTGAGGAGCGCAAGTTTGGGAACTACGATCCTTAACAGTCAGTGTTATGATGCTAGCTATGGGATAAAATAGGCCTTGCAGCCTATGTTCTGATTCCTATTCTTTCTTATTTCCCAGGAGAGCTGGCCTGGAGTGCTCCCTGATTCAGAGCAAGGTCCTCCTAGAGGCTGAGTGGGAATAAAAAGCCATCCAAGGATGAAAAGGAAGAAAATGTGCCTATAAAAGAGGTTATGATTCATTCTCTCTCTCTCTCTCTCTCTCTTTCTCTCTCTCTCTCTGTATATCACATACACTGATGCTTAGTGTCTTTCTTTGTCCAATAGCAGGAAGGCTTTGATTGTCTCTGTCTCTTTCCTCTTTCTCTTCCTACCTGCTTCCTTCTATGAGTGTAGATGTATGCATATAAAATTTGATGTATCAAAATAGATACAAGGCAGAATTTCTCACAATTTCTTTCTTTCTTTTTTGCCAGTCCCAGAGCTTGAACTCAGAGTCTGGGCACTGTCCCTGAGCTTCTTTTGCTCAGGCTAATACTCTACCACTTGAACCACAGTGCCACTTCTGGCCTTTTCTGTTTATGTGGTACTGAGGAATTGAACCCAGGGCTTCGTGAATGCTAGGCAAGCACTCTACCGCTAAGCCACATTCCCAGCACCTAGTGTTATGTGTTTTCCTTTTTGCTGGTCCTGGGGCTTGAACGCAGGGCCTGGGCTCTGAATTCTTCATCTGTACATTGAGGACAACATATACTTTAGAATCAGAGCCCCTCTTTAGCCAGAGCCCCTTCATCTTGGCCCTATCTTCTCTAAATGGTCAGACCCCTGTCAAAGGGAGGGTGGTGTAGGGCAGGACTCTGAGGTCTGGTGTCAAATGTCCCAGCAAACAGAGGAGAACACCTCAGACAACAGGGGCTGAGAGAGGCCAGGCCAGATCTGTGAGTTTTTTGTAGCAAAAACTAGCAGTCAAGGTTTGTAGGTGAAATTTCCCATTTCAAAAATCTTGGCTACTCATCCACTTACTCTGTGCAGCCTTCGCCCTGCCCCCTCCCCCCCAGCAGATCAGAGGAACTAAGTCATGGGCACCAGGGCTGCACTCAAGATCCACGCAGTTGCTCATCACAAGGGAACCCAGCAGAGGAGAGCTATAGAAGACTAAGATCTGCTTTGGTCCTGCCTCCCACTGTGAGAAAACTGGCTCAAAAAGTGGTGGGGGATGGGGAGGGTAAGTAGGAAATGGTGGGACTGGGGTTGTATGTAATTCAGTGTTGCAGAGTGCTTGTCTACCATGTGTAAAGGCCCTGGGGTTCAATTCCCAGCCCCACAAAAGAAAGAAGAATAGCATTTATAGACATTCACTCTTGGGTTACACAATCCCCCAGACAGAAAGGTGAAAGGAGTTTCAATACCTGGCATCAGAGGCAAAGAAGAATTCCACGGCTTTGTCGCCCACAGCATGAAGGCAGGTGGAGCTGTCCAGCCTCTTCATCCTGGTTCTACAGATACTCTTCACATTCTCAATATTGCCTAGTAAAGAAAAGGCTGGGCTACAGATTCCAGTAGAATATTCCATTGGCAGAGCCCATCTCCCCTTTGAATGTGTGTGGGAGAAAATTTGCAATTTTTAGCTATGGGCTGTGTCAGCCAAATCGTGTAAAAAGCTCCCCCCAAAATAGCACAGCACCACTGAAAGAGCATTTAAATGGCTACAGTGGGAGAGAAATGCAAACAAAACAAACCGAAGCAATACTCAAATGGAGGGCACAGTTGTCATGATAATTGAGCTGAGTTCTGTTCTTTCTACTTCTGTGGATGTCTGAAAATATCCACAGTGAAAAGCTTTAAAAAAAAAAAAAAGATGATGCTGGATCTCCACTGAGATACCATGCACCTGGGTGGGTCCAAGTGGTGCTGACCAGACCAGAGCAATCACCCAGGTGCCGCCCTGCGCAAGGCCTTCTGGGGGAAACTTACACGTCCGGTATAGAATGGGGATCTGCTCGGTGGAGAGCTTGTATTTGCTCCGCACTCCGATGAGCAAGGGGCTGCCTCTCCTGTGGGGATAAGGTGTCAAGTTACCCATCAGCAAAACATGGTCTGTCTTTCTTATTATTAGTGGGAGAGAGCCCAGAGTCCTTCGCGACTCCAGCGTCTCCCTCTGAATCTTAATTTTGCTTTCCAAGGTTTCAACTCCTGTCAGGTCAACTGAGAACCAGAAACTATTCAACAACTGTCTTGGACACAATGGTTCAACAAAATGGGGTCCTATTTTACCTCCACCTATTTCTTGGGGATATAGACCAGTGATCTGACAAGCCACTTGTTCAATGGCTTGGTCTAGCCCTTGAATGTCTGTTAACCTGACTCAATGCAGGCTCTTATTAGTTTATAGAGCCATCAGCTATTGGCAATTTTGAAGAAAAAAAAATAAAGCTTTCTTGCTTCTTCCCACCATCATCATCTGCATTCATTTGAGTCATCATGTGAGGTGTGATGAGATTTTAAAGGGAGTTTCTAAAACAGGAAACAACTTTATAATTCTACAATTTGAAAGAATTACATTCCAAATGGTAAATTCAATCCAGTCCTAGAAAAGCAAAAACTCACGATAAATTCATCTGATTTTTCTGCCTAGATACCAGGAAAACTTTCAATTGCCTCTCTGGTCCTGACTTGGGGAAAGGAAAAGGGCTGCAGAGATATTCCCAAGGCTGCTTTGTACCTTTAGAATGAGGTCTGCAGCCCACATGGCGGAAGCTCCTCTGAGGCCAGCACCCACCCACATCTCCCATTAGCCTGCGAAGTTCATGGGACAATGCCCACACTACCTGATTCACTGCCAATCCCCAAACCTGGCCCACAACAGGAGGGCCTGTTCTACTCCATCACCACATTGGACAAACTGGGATTCTGGAGTGCTACACTCGCCCTACGTCTTCCCATGTTGGACCCTCTGCCTGGGAAGCTGTTCCTGCAGCCTGCTTTCCTGAGGATGACACCTGTGTTCCTTCCCACCACTCTCTACCCATCTCTGACCTCCCCACCAACTGTTCAGAAACCAGGCTGATGTCACAAAGGTCTTTAGGAAATGGGCACATTGGAAGTGTTCAACAAATAATGGATAATGAATGGATTAGGGATGGATAATCAGTAGATAATCAATTATCCAAGAGGGTTCCTCCAAATTATATAAGGCTTTAAACCCCCCACAAAGACTAGATCTGGTCTTTCTTTACGTTTTAATTTGTCGCCAACTTCCAAAAATCTGAATATTTCACATAGAAAATTAACTTTGTTTCTCTTTAAAAGAAAAAAAAAATTCAGGCACTCTAGCACCTCTAGCCATAGAGAGTGAGGTGCTGTGTTCAGGGCCAAAAGTACAATTGTCATGTCAGCCCAGCAAGTGCTTTCCAGCTGGTCAAAGACCCTAGAGCTCCCTGAGCCCTCAAGCTAAATAATTTATTTATTTGTTAGTGGAAGTCTTAATGCATTTGGCCTCACCTTGTAGCAACAGCTTCTCCTGGGTAGTGGATACTCTTGAAAACCAATGCAAATGCACCCTCCTGTAAACACAGGAAAAGAACGTAAAGGATAGCTCCATCCAGCTGGCTCAGCCTGCAGCCCTGGGCAGGTCTCTCCTTTGGCCACTGTTGATGGGAAGCAGTCCTGGGCTCAGCTTGCTCAGGCTGAGGTTAAGAAAGTCAGTAAAACAAGACACCACACAGCAGCACCAAAGGCCAGAATTTGTGAATCGCATCATGAAGAACATAAGCCTGGCTGGACTGGCAAGAAACTCTGGTTGAAGATGGCCAGAACTGGGTGAGCTGAGTGGACTGCTACTATTAGATCAGGAAATGAGAATGAGGCTTGAGATGCCCCATACTCAGCCTCAAGGAAGGGACCAATTTAGGGAGCAGCTGCAGGATGGAGGCCCATGAAGGAACTGTAATTTAGCTGAGGTCCATCCTTGAACCTGGGCAATCAGATCATCTGTGAACCGAGACAAGAGTATTTCTACCCTCTCACTTGGTGATTAGACCATCAAAAAGAAGTCTGGGTTATTACTGTTACTGTTTCTATGGCTATGCCTGTGCCCCAGCATAAAACCAGAATTACATCCCTGCAATGGTGGCTCACACCTAAAATCCTAACCAATCAGGAGGCTGAGATCTGAGGATTGAGGTTTGCAGCCAGCCCAGATAGGAAAGTCTGTGAGACTCTGATCTCCAATTAACCACCAAAAAGCCAGAAGTATGGCTCTAGTGATAGAACACTAGCCATGAGTGAAAAGGTCAAGGGACAATGCTTGGGTCAGGAGTTCAAGACCCAGTACCCACTCCTCCTCACCCACATGAAATAATCTGGGTCTAGGAATGTGTATCTTAGTAAGAAGAGTCTTGTCTAGCATGTGTGAAGCCCTGGGTTTGATTCCTGCAAAAAAAAAATTTCTGGTAAATGTGCTGTAGCAGTGTTAGGCCTATAGTACCAGCACTTGTATTACACATGTGGAGATTTTTTTTTCTTGTCATTCATTGTCCCCTCTACTACATAGCACTTATATTAGGAATTATAAACAGTATTGAGGCTTGAATTCAGGATCCTAAATTTTTGCTCAGATTTTTTTTTTCTCACAGCTGGGCACTCTCCAACTTGAGCCATGCCTCTACTTCTGGCTTTCTGGTGGTTAATTGGAGAAGACTCTCACAGACTTTTCTTCCAAGGCTGGCTTTGAACTGATATCCTCAGATCTCAACCTACTGAGTAGCTAGGATTATAGGCGTGAGCCCCTGATGCCAACCTTACAATACCATTTTTATGAGACATGAATATCATGGATTTGGGCATCAGAAAGGATCCTGGAGTTCATTCTTCTATGTTATGGAAGATAGACTTAACTGAGAGGCATAAATTTTATTTATAAATACGTCCTCTATTTACATCCCCCCTTTATAAAGAGTCAGGGGGCAAAGAGTTTGGACAGCAGACTGAAAATGTCCACTGAAGGATAATAGTTTAAACCACGGTAAGCTCAAAGCAGTCTGTGACCCAGCATGCCCTGGTTTCAAGACCTTGAATGCTATCACCAGGCTGCCTAGAAGGAGATTTTTTCGATGGCCAAATGCCTGGGAGGGTGGGATCTGAGATATGTGGACCTTTCTCACCCTCTACCTCTCTGGAGCCCATGGGGGCCTTGGGCTATCTGCTCCACTTCCTCCTCTCAGGAGGAGGGACTTCCCCTTGGACAGTCCTCCTGCTGTGTCTTCCCTGTGATGGAGAGACTGTACTTCTTGGCTTCAGCTCTCTGGGATCACACTGACTTCTCTCGCTTTCTTTCCTGGAACCAATTCCCTGATGTTACACGAGGGACTGGAGCCTGCAGATGTGCTCTGAGCAATCTTATCACAAAAACACAACCCTCCCTGGAACTGCAACCATTTCCTGCCCCAGGAGCAGGAGGTACTTTGTGCCCTTTCACAATTAATCACTTCAGAAGTCTGCATGTGCTGGCACCTATTTCTGCTTTTCTTTCCTCTCTTTTTCTCTTTCCAATCTTTCCTCTTCCCTCCCCTTCTTTTCCCTCCCTCCCTCCTTCCCTTCCTTCCTTCCTTCCTCCCTCCCTTTCTTTCTTTCTTCCTTCCTCCCTTCCCCAGAGACACCATCTTCCACCTTCAATATGTTGTAGCAATTTACATAATAAGACTTGATTTTTTTTAATAAAAAAATCCTAATTTAGACAGTTGGGCTTTGTAACTCACCAATTGCTGGATGACTCTCTCGACTAGTGTGGAAAACGTAATGTCCTCAGTTTCTCTGTTGTCGTATACGTATTTAATCAATTTGGCGATGGTCTCTGTGTCTGTTTCTGACTCAAACTCATAGCCTTTGCTTTCCTGGAATCAGAAGACATTGGACATGGGGGTGACAGATAATGGTCATTGTGCAAGGCTGTCCTGGCTAGTATCCTCTAGTCCCTTCTGATTTGACTTAAGGCGAGAATAAGGAAAACTGGGAAGGGACCAAGAAAAAAAAATCTCTGCCAAAATCACACTGCCAAACACCTCTGAGTCATCTCTATATTCCCTGAGATTGTCCCTCCTCAGAAGTTTGTCTTTGCCATTAATCTGGACCTTGCAAAATAGCAGCAGTGGATGGGAATGATAAAAAATATGTTGAGTCAAATCCACCCACATCCGGACCTACAACACACAACCCCTTTCGTACTGCGTACGAAAGTACTTTCGTACTTTGGCTTTCCAGTCCACATTCCATTCGGCATGTGAATTCATGTGTTACATAGTGCACACACTTTAATCACACCAACTTCATGTTTTGTTTTGTATTTGAATTCTGTGAATCCACTTGGGCCCTTGAGATCAACACTCATACTCTACCCTCTATGTTCTCAAACAAGATATGGGCCGGGTGGTTCAGTGGGGATTGAGATTCATAGTCAGGGTTGTGATATGGTTCACTTAAGTTTGCTCAGCTCAGGTAGGCCTCATTTAGTTCCTGCTCTTTTTTTTTTGTCTTGAGGGAGATGAACTCGTTGGGAAGCTTCTGAGGGATACCCCATCCTACTGGAAAATGTCTCTCATCTTACCAAAAATTTCCTCAGATCTTTGTAATTTGTGATGATGCCATTATGGATGACAACAAATTCTGAAAGAAAGAAAAGGTTCAAAAAAAAGGTTCAAAGAAGACGGAAATGAAGTTCAAGTCAGATCCAAATTGGGAGAAATGTCCACAGCTTGGAAACTCGTGGCAAATTCTGCTCCTACAAAGACTCTGGTTCAGCACACTCCATCAGCGAGAGGATTAGAACTGCTGTCCATGATTAACTACAATCTCACCTCGGGAGAAGGACCTTTACCTTCCCAGAACAGAGCTCTTACAGGTGATCTATTGTTATTATCACATAGGATTAAAGTCAAAAGGGGGTTGGTCAACCTTCCAATCTCCAGAAACAATGGCAGGTTTCTTCTGCTCTAGCCTCTTAAGGGCTGGGTTTACAGGCAGGCAGTGTGTCTGTCACTATGCTAGGCTTAGAAACATATACCTTTTACAGCCCTGGAGATCCAAGTTACCTGAGGGTATGACTAGGCTGTGACTAGGGCTTGAACCCAGGGCCTGTGCGTTTCCCTGAGCTCTTTTTGCTCAAGGTTAGTGTTCTACCACTTTGGGTTTTTGGTGGTTAGTTGGAGATAAGAGTCTCACAGGCTTTCTTGCTGGGGCTGGCTTTCAATCATGATCCTCAAATCTCAGCTAAGATTACAGGCATGAGCCACTAGCACACAGCTTTCAGAGATTCTTTGTATCTCCAATTCAAGTTATCCTTCAGTTCAGGAGAGATTTCTCCTATTCATCTGAAACGCTTATAATGTTCTTTTTACTTTACATCTACTATAACTTCCTATTCATTTATTTTCTCTTGTGGGTACTGAAATGTGAGTGCAGGGTCTCAATCTTATTAAGCAATGCTCTATAACCTCAGCCACACACTCAGCCCTTTTCACTTTACATTTCAAGTAGGATCTCAAGGCCTGGACTACAGTCCTCTTATCTGTGCCTTCCAGGTAGCTGGCATTAGAGGTGTGTGCCACCACACCCAGCTTCACTGATTGAAATGGGGGGAGGGTCTTGCTAACTTCTTACTCAGGGTTACCTCAAATCAACCTGAGATGCTGAGGTCCTCCTGATCTATACCACCTGAAGAGCTGAGATTATAGACATGAGCCACCAAGCCTGGCCATCCTCTCAGTGTTTAAGAAAACCTTGTATATGCCGGGCACCAGTGGCTCACATCTGTAATCCTATCTACTCAGGAGGTTGAGATCTGAGGATCATGGTTCAAAGCCAGTCCGGGCAGGAAAGTCTGTGAGACTCTTATCTACAACTAGCTACCAGAAAACTGGAAGTGGTGCTGTGGCTCAAATGGTAGAGCACTCGCCTTGAGCCAAAGAGTGCAGGGACAAAGCCCAGGACCTAAGATCAAGCCCTATAATTGACCAAAAGAAAATCTTGTATTTTTGTGAAGTCACGTAAGAAATGGGTGGCTTGCATAAGGAAAGTCTGTGGTGTAAACACTACTCCATGTATCCACATATCAAAATATCACATACATATATATGCCTTTTATATTTTTGTGTCATCCAAAAGAAAATTTAAGTTAAAAAAATTAAGAAGGGCTGGGAAGGTGGCTCAGTGGTAGAGCGCTTGCCTTGCATGCATGAGGCCCTGGGTTCGACTCCTCAGCACCACATAAGAAAAAAGAAAAAAGCCGGAAGTGGTGTTGTGGCTCAAGTGGTAGAGCGCTAGCCTTGAGCTGAAGAGCTGAGGGACAGCGCCCAGGCCCAGAGTTCAGACCCCACGACCGGACCCCCCAAAAAAAAAAATTAAGACAAAGGAAAGCTCAATGTCAGCAAGAATGCTGACCACAGTTGCGCCCTGCTACAGTTTTATGTCTTTTTTTAAAAAATAGTTCCATTTGTTGAGGAAGAGAAAGGCATTTACAATGCTTATGTGCATGTGATCACACAAAATAATATTTGTTGAAGCTGAGTGCTGTCGGCTAATGACTGTCATCCTAGCTACTAGGAGGCTGAGATCTGACGATCATAGTTCAAAGCCAGCCTGGGTAGAAAAGTCTGTGATATTCTTATTGCCAATAAACTACTCAGAAAAAGCCAGACGTGGCACAATGGTTCCAGTGGTAGAATGCTAGCCTTCAGCAAAAGAAGCTCAGGGACAGTGCCTAGGCCCTGAGTTCAAGCCCTAAGACTGCCCCCCCAACTCCAAATATATATGTATGTATGTGCATTTATCAAATGAACTCTAAGAAATGGAAACAAGAGGGTTGTTTTTTCTTGCTTGCTGTTTTTTTCTTTTGTCTTTGAGAGAGTAAAGGGAGGACAGAAACCCAGGGACACAGGGTGAACAGATGCAGCAGTGGTACTCACTGGACACTAAGTTGAAAATGAACTATACAACTTGTGGGTGGGGATGGGAGGCAAAAACTGGGAGAGAATAAGGGAAGGTTGACACTGTCCAAAAAGAAATGTACTCTTTACTTGACTTATATAACTGTAATCCCTTTATACATCACCTTCATAATAATGAAAAAATAGTTCAACTTGTTCTAATTTCTTCTTGTAATGCTAGTTACCCCTATGTCAGACACCAGCTGACTACATGTATCTTTCTCTCCAGTTTTTCTTTGGCAATTTTTTTTCTTACAAATCTTTATGGAGTTTTTAAAAATAATGTGTTTTGCAGACAGATCTCAGTAGGTAACCCATGTTGACCTTAGATTTGGAGTCTTCCTGCCTCGGCCTCCTGAGTGCTGGGATTACAGGCATGCACCGCCACACACCCAGCGTGAACCTTTGCATCTTGCCTGTGTTGTTCTCTTTTTCAATGACTCATCCTGAATCAGAGCAAGGCGTGGGTGGGTCCCCTTGGAACCTCCTTGCTTTGGGGATACAATCAGAACTGTTGTCTGTCCTGAAATGAGGAGGGGTGCGGGGTGGGGGGGTGGGGAGGGAGTTCCCTGATGGAGTTCACCATGGGTGAGCAGGAGGCTGGGTTGGAGTTGAAACCATCTCAGGACAAATGGTCCTGGTAATGTTTTCATAACTAACACCTCTGCTCCAGGGACCAGCTTCAGCATCTGACTTAAGGTTTGGCTCGGTCCTCAGGTCATCCATCAGGCGGCCTCCCCCCTCCCCTGACACGTGGGATGTCATTTGGTTCAAGGCATGGGCTAGACCCAAAGGAGAAGCATCAACAGAAGTCTCACCAGCACTCAAAGATTCTGGTCCTATACACTGAAAACCCTTCATAGGGATTTGGGCAGAGACCCTCACCTGGCACCTTCTGTTGGGGACAGTGGTGCCTGCCCTCCTGCCTAGCTCTGCACCCCACCCTGGGGTCCTGACCCACTGTGAGTAAAGGACTAGCCGGATATCATGCGTGCAGCAAAGTGTCACTACGATGCCCTCAGCAACAGGTCTAGTATATTCTATCCTTGCGGAAGCAGGAGCTTCGGCAAGAGCTTGGACGATGCCAGGGATGAGGGGACACGGCCGAACAGGAGACCTGGATGATCCCAGAAGTTGTTTTCTTTGCTGGGCACTCTTTCCTGTCTCAGGTGTGACCAGGTGTGTAACCTCTTGGCCTACTTAGGGGCTCAGATTACATGGTTAGACTCTTGTCTGCCTTTTCAGAGGCCTGGGAAGATAAAAATCTCGCTTCCTATTGCTGGAAGGGCAGACATCCTTGGAGCCAACCAGAACACTCCTCCCACGCCCCCTCCTCCAGAGGTCACTGGGAGTCCCAGATCCGCCGGTCTTTGCCCACGGGGAGGAGGCGAGGGTTAGAGTGCCCTGTACTCTTCAGTACAAAGTGCCCAGGCTTTGGGTGTTTTGTTACAGTGATACAAAGCAGACTAATGCACTTCTCTGCTCCACTTTCAGGCCGAGTTACAAAAAGCCAACATTCCTCGTGGGAAAGTCACGGTTGTTTTTCTGTGGTGTACCTGGGCAGTAAGCAGCTCACAGGGTCCAGACAGAGTGGGCCTCTGGATCGAGGCCCAAGGCTACTTTGGAAGGCTTTAGGAAAGGGAGTTTCAATTATCTAGGGAAAAGAGGGTAGTAGGAGGGGAAAAAATCAGCTTGAGGCTGGCACAAAACGCACTGGGCGCTGGTGGCTCACGCCTGTCATCCTAGCTACTCAGGAGGGTAAGATCTGAGGATCGAGGTTCAAAACCAGCCCGAGCAGGAAAGTCTGTGAGACTCGTATTTCCAATTAACCACCAGAAAACTGGAAGTGGAGCTGTGGCTCAATGTGGTAGAATGCTCAGGGACAGCACTCAGGCCCTGAGTTCAAGCCCCATGACCGACAAAAGAAAACACCTCCACCGCCCTTGTGGTTAGATCATCCTTGAAAGTAGTTCAAGGTGAGGGTCAGGGATGAAGAGCCCCCCCAACCCCTGACCCCCACATACCGTTTCCTTTGTCTGAGCGCTGTGGGTGGCTGTTGACCGCACTGGGGACCCCGTGGGTGGCCCAGCGCGTGTGAGCGATGCCAAAATGTGTCTCAAATTCCACCTTTAAGTCCATGTTGTCTTGTTCTAAATGGAATAAAGAAACATCAGTCCACTGCACTTTGGAAACACTTATTGACACAGTCCAGAGAAGAGAGGGAGTTTCTTTACATCAAGACACATCATCTCTGCCCTCAGCATCACCATCAACCACGTGGGGAGCAGTCTACCCGTGGCACTTATCAGTAACCGCACTCAGTTCTGAGCAAAAATAAATCGTTTTTGAAATGATACAGGACTGTGATAAGCAGAAAATCAGTATCAACTCCCAGAAAAAAATGTAAAATAAGCACACAACTATTTAAAAAATTGCAAAAAATTCACCATGTGCCAATGCTTAAAATAAACCATCTCTATCCTCTGTAAGATGCCATTTTACAACTTGGGCTTCTCTATCTTGATTTTAATTTTGTATATGTATATATGGGGGAGGCTGGGTGCACGTGGGGGGGGGGCAGTATAAGGGTTTAACCCTGGGCCTTGCACTTGCTCAGCTTTCTTGTTCACGCTGGTGATCTACTACTTGAACCATGCCTCTAGCCTGGCTTTTTGCTGGCTCATTGGGAGATGGAGGCTCTCAGACTTTCCTGCCAGTGGCTGGCTCAAATTGTGGTCCTCACAAAATAATGGCATTTGCAGGGAAATGGATGGAACTAGAGCAAGTCATTTTGAGCGAAGTAAATCAAGAGCAAAGAGACAAAGGGCACTTGGTCTCCCTGATATGTGGATGCTAAAGCCAAAATGCAAAGAGATCTGACAAAGTAAACAGGACTTGAGAAACAAAGGACTTGCACTCATTTTGTTGTATCATTGCTAAATGACTCCATTTTCTTGACCACATATATGGTATATATGCACACATCTGAGGGAAGCTAGGAGGAGGACACAGAATCAGAGGGAAATGGGAAAGCATACAACAGAGGGGCTCATCAGCTGCACTGGACATAGATTAAAATGAAGCAAATCAAAGTCAGCAATGGGAGGGAGGGAATGAGAGGGAAAGAGGGAACAGCTTCCATTAAGCAAAAGGAAAGAAATGTAAACCTCACCTGACGTGGAAGAAATAGTTGTATTGTCAAAGCTCATAGAATTCACAAACTTTATAGACCATGATAATGACAATTTGCCTTGTGAAGGTTAAAATGTGTTTGTGACTTTAAGCATCATTATCCCACCATACTGTGAAATATACGAAATTTATGTAATCACCTAATCTCAATAAAAAATTATTATAAAAAAAATTTGAGGTCCTCAGATCTCAGCCTTACTGAGTAGCTAAGATTATCCCTAACATGCAGCTGATATGTTTCTCCTTAAATGCTGCTGGAATGTTTCCAAATGGTCAGAACAGCAAGAATCCCTTCCAGAAAGAACATGTTTGACCTACTGTAAAGTTCTTCATCCAGAGCCTTGACTTTTCCCTTCTTCTTGACAAGCTGGATATGTCTTTCTTTGACTTCATGATTGCTCCCATCAATGGCTACACCTGAAGTTTAAGCAAGATTACATATTTTTTTAAACATTTATATTTCACATGTGTTATTTATTTATTTATTTTTATTTATTGAGGTCAGCTGTGGGGCTTGAACTCAAAGCCTGAGTGCTGTCCCTGAGGTTTCTTTTGCTCAAGGCTAACATTTTACCACTTTGAGCCACAGCTCCATTTGCCAGTTTTCAGACGCTGAATTGGAGACAACAGTCTGGCAGACTTTCCTGTCTGGGCTGGCTTTGAATCGTGATCTTCAATGCCAGTCTCCTATGTAGCCGGGATTAAGAGTGTGAGCTGCCAGCGCCTGGCTACATGTATATTTTTAAATCTATATACAGCCCACAGCATGAACCAATGTTTTCCTAAGTACAAATACTGGTGTGAAAGGAAGTTCTATTACCAGAAAGGCCATTTCCATTCAGCTTCTCACCTCCCAAACAGGCAAGTCCTGTTCCCATCCCTGTCTCAACAGACTGACGAGTTTTGCCTATCTAGAACTTCATAAAATTGAAACTACAAACTGTGTGTGTGTGTGTGTGTGTGTGTGTGTTAGTGTACTGGGGCTTGAACTCAGAGCCTCATGTTTTTCCTTAGAGTTTCTCCCCTGGCTCAAAGCTGATGCAGTTCTACTTCCAGCTTCTTGCTGGTTAATTGGAGATAAGAGTCTCTTGGATTTTTCTACTTGGGCTGGCTTGGATTTCAGATCCTTAGATCTCAACCTCCTGAGTAGATAGGATTATAGATATGAGCTATCAGCACTGGCTCTTTTCTATACTTTTTAACAATAGTTTCCTCTAGTTTTTCTTTAATTTTCCCCTGTCTTTAATGAGCAAGTATTATTTTGAAAAGAAACCTTAAGAAGTACTAGAAAAATGAACAGGTTGTAAACACACACACACACACACACACACACACACACACACAAAGTACAACCCAGACTGTAAAAACAAACAAACAAACTCACCATAATGCCACAAAAGAAATGGAGGAGAGAAACAGCCAGCGCCACACACAATCTGGCCTGTAGCACTTACCTGCAGAGTCATAACCTCTGTACTCCAGCCTCTGTAAGCCTTTGATGAGGGTTTCAAAAATCTCCTTTCTTGTCCGGGGAACTCTGTAGTTCATGTAAGCAAAGATTCCTGTTAAAAAAAAAAAAAAAACACATCATATTAAAGAAACACTTGGAGTCAGGTCTAGTAGTGCATGCACACCAGTGATCCCTGCTACTCAGAGGGGAGAGGATGACTGAGGGGATCAAGGACTAAGGTATGCTGGGCCTCATTTCAATGAATAAGGTGGAAGCTTATGGTTCTAGCTACACAGGAGGGGTAGGCAGGAGGCTCAAGGTTCAAGACTAGCCCTGAACAACAACAACAACAAAGAGCATGCGCAGGGCTCAAGTGTTGAGTGCATCTGATTAGCAAGCCCTGGATTCAAACTCCAATTACATGCCCCCCCTCCCACAAAAATTCCCACCACTAATTAAAAAACAAAAACAAAAAGCAAAAACACCTGCTTGGTTCTGGCCTTGAACTCAGAGCCTGAGTCTGTCCCCTGGCTTTTTTGCTCAAGACTGGCATTCTACCACTTGAGCTCCACTTCTGGTTTGTTGGGTGGTTAAATGGAAATAAGAGTCCATTGGATTTGTCTGCTTGGACTGGTTTCGAACCTTGATTCTCAAATCTCAGCCTCCTGAATAGCTAGGATTACAGACAGGAGTCACCAGCGCAGAGCAGGTGAACATACTTTTACAACCCCAAGAAAACAATCCATCTCGTGTCCCCTTGGTCCCTGGGGGTTTATGAGGGTCAAGGGAAGGTTTGCCAGGCAAGCCAATTATGATTTGATTTTCATTTGTTTTAATATACAACTCAAATTAGTATTTTCCCAAATAAGGAGCGACGGTGGCCATCAAGTGTATTCTGCCTTCCAGTTCCTCCCCTCCCATTTGCAATGGTGGAGCTTTGATTTTCTTCTCTCACCCTCCATCCTTCCGTCGTCCTTGTCCCTACTCTGGAAAACCTGCCCATCTCAAAGCTCAGCCCTAACTCCGGAATGGAAACACACACATAGCCATAACAATCAAACCGTAATTAAATTCCCATTCTTCTATTACTGCACAGGGGATCTCTCTGTCTGTCTGTCTATCTTTTTGCATATGTGCAAACATGTGCATTAAAATACCAGGCTTAGATTTAAGAATATGCAGTGTGCGTTCTGAGCAGCTAGGTGTTTTTCTTTTTTAAACATGGCCCAGGGTAATTTTGAGGGTAAGCTATTTTTGTCTTCCTGGCTGACTTCGGGTCAGGTGGGAGCTGCTGACTGAGAGCTGTGTGCATGCAGGTCCTTCCCTCGGGGTGGAGGTGGCCCTTCCCTTCAGAGGAGGTCCCTGCCACCTCAGGGACCAGCTGACCCTTGGTGGAGCCAGAGGCCCCCATTTTTACACCCCTAGATTTTAAAGACCTCTGTCCCTCTGGTTTTTTTTTCTTTTTGATCGGTCATGGGGTTTGAACTCTGGGCCTGGGCATTCCCTCAGCTCTTCAGCTCAAGGCTAGTGCTCTACTACTTAAGCCACAGCACCACTTTCGGTTTTTTCTGGTCGTTAAATTGGAGACAAGAGTCTCACGGACTTTCCTGCCCAGGTTGGCTTCGAACGTGATCCTCAGATCTCAGCCTCCTGAGTAGCTAGGATTACAGGCATGAGCCACTGGTGCCTGGCTTCCAATGTATTTTTAAGTCACCTTACTAATTATTTTAATAGGTTTATTGAGATATAAATATGCTCCAATGTTTCATTTCATGATTACAATGCAATGGCTTTTAGCCTGTTCCCAGAGTTGTGTGACCATTGTCCCAATCTATGTTGAGGGGAAACTTTTCCCCACATTGCTCGTTCTGCACACAGTGAAGTGTTCCCGGGTGTGATGCTTAAGTTCTCATCACTACAAGGCCATGGAGCCATGGGAGACAGTGACGTGGAGGGTGAAGACATTCACAAAAATAGCCCTCTCTTATCTGAAATGTTGTTTTCGGAAGTTTCAATTATCCTTTCCCCACCCTGGGTCTGAAAATATGAAATGGAGAATCCTAAAGCTAAGCAATTTGTAAGCTGCAAACTGCACAGTGTTCTGACAAAGCTAACGCTTTGTCCCTCCGCCTGGGCGATGAACCAGTTTTTGTTCAATGTATCCATGCTGTCTCTGCTACCTTCCCGTGCTGTCACTACATCACAGCACCACAGGACTTGTGTCCAAGTAACTCTTTATTTTAATTAATAATGGTCCCAACGTGTAAGACTGGTGGTGCTGTTGGTTCAGAAATGCAGGAGACGTCATAAAGTGCTGCCTTCAACCAACCAAGTGAAAGTTCTCAACTAGATAAAAAAGCTGGGCATTGGTGGCTCACACCTGTAATCTTAGATACTTGGGAGACTGAGATGTGAGGATCATAGTTTTAAGGCAGCCCTGACAGAAAAGTCCAAGGGACTCTTATCTCCAATTAAGCAACAGAAATCCAGAAGTGGAACTGTAGAGCACTGCTCTGAGTGGAAAAAGCTAAGGGACAGTGCCTAGGAACTGTGTTCACATACCAGCACCCCACACGCATGCGCACATACGAATTTACAGTCATGACCCATGTAAGTGCTTAATTGAGATGGAAAAGAACCAACAACAGTGAATTGCAGAATAACTTTAAGGTTACATGAATCTACCATTTCAGGCATTTCATTGGGACTCTGGAAACAATTCCCTGCCTCCCCCTTCTCTCACCCCCCCCCCCGAAACCGCCATGGACAAGAGGGATAGAAGATAATGCAGAACATTCTTGTGAGTCTTTTTAATGAAACAAAACATTCCTAGCATCCTGAGAAGGTTCCAGAAACCATACTGGTGCTTATGAAAGGGGGGATCAGATCTGCATTGCAAATGATATAAAGGTGGAGAAAGCTAACCGGGGCCAAGTGTGAAAAGATTTTGAAGATTTGAGTGGTTTCCAAGAGGGATCTCCAGGGTCCAGCTCCCCAGTTCTCTGTACACCCCCACTCTAGTTCTGAACACACACCCATCCATGACAGGTTCCCAGGGGAGGTGCAGGATGCCATCAGCGCCACGGCCGGGTGGGCTGAGACCATTAAAGGGTCCTTGTCCTCAGGACTACCAGCTGTGTCTACACCCAGCCCGGAGACCTGGCAGCGGCTGGAAGTTGACTACAGGGGCAGCTGCCAAAGAAGTCCTTTCCAGGGTCTTTACGCAAGAAGGCATAAATCTAATTTTCAACATGAAATGTCTATTCAGTGATTTCTTTCAGTAATGAAGAACCGCCTCTCTCCACGCGCAGCTCATCTTCTTGGCTGTACTCCACTGAACTGGAGTAAATAAAACAGCATTTATGCTGCTAATTATTGTCAACAGTTCTTATTGTTGTTTTTAAAAAAGATAATAAAAATCAAACAAAGCTGCTTCCTCAGGAATTTCTCTTGTCAGGATTCCCTCTTCGAACCTCTTCCTTGTATATATAAAAAAGGCTACCATGAAAATCCTTCTTTTTTAAAACATTTTGGTAAATAGTATTTTAGTTGTTCAGAGAAGTTATACCTTGGGGTCCCTCCCCTAAGGGTGTCCTCCTCCTTTAGTCTGTGTGTGAATGCCTAGATTCATGTATAGGTTCTCATGTCCAGTTATATTTTAGATTTAGCTTCCACGTAGGAGAAAAAACATGCGCCATTTGTCTCTCAGAGCTTGGCTTACCTGACTTACCATCATTTGTTCTAGGTCATCCATTTCCCTGCAAACGACATAATCTTATTCTTTCTAATGGATTCCATTGTGTATATATACCACCTTTTATTGATCCATTCATATGCTGTACAGCATCTGGGCTGTTTCCATGATTTGGCTATTGTGAATAGTGCAGCAATGAACATGGATGTGCAAGTGTCTTCACCATATCTTGACTTATAATGATCTGGGGAAAAGCCTAAGAGTAGTATGTCTGGGTCATAGAGTAGTTCTGTATTTAGTTTTTTGAGGCACCTCCAGACTGTTTTCTAGAGTAGTTGTACTAGTTTACATTCCTATCAATGGTAAAACAACAATAAACAAACAGGAAATCAGTGATCAAAGAGTTTAACAATTAGTAAGAGTTTTAAATTTGGGAGCCCTCTTTGGAAAGGCAATTTGGCATTCTCTCAAAATTAAAAATGTACATATTGCCAACCAGACTAATGCACTTCTAGAAATGCATTCCACAGACATCTTTGCAGAGATGCATTTGTGCACATTAAGGGATAAGTGCTCAGTACTATCTGTGATTGCCAAAGACACACTGGAGTCAGCCGGAGGTCTGGCAGGGACCTGTGCATGGAGTGAGAGGCCTCAGGCAGGCAGCCCTCCACCAAGCATGGGCTGAAGCTCTTGGAAAGCGATTGAAGTCTCCACTCTGGCAAGTAAAAAACAGCAGCTTGCAGAACATGGGGGAATTATGCAGTGTGATGCTACAATCTGCACAGAGAGCTGGCGATAGGGTCTTTCCTCTGTATCTGCAGGGACCAGTTTCAGGATACCCTGAGGGTGCCAAAACCCAAAGGCATTCAAGTCCCTTATGTAAAATGATGCGCTGTGCGCATTTAATCCCACATCCCCCAGTAACCCTTTAGGTTTTCAGTGCTGGAACTTGAACCTAGAGTTGTCTTCTGCATGCTAGGCAAATAGGCTCTACCACTGAGCTATACCCCAGCACCTGACTAGTGCTCTACCACTTGAGCCATTGATCTATTTCTGGCTTTTTGCTGGTTAATTTGAGATGATAAGAGTCTCAAGAATTTTCCTGCCCAGGCTGGCTTCCAAATCTCAGCCTCCTGAACACCTGACTTCCTGTGTATTTTTCATCATCTGTACACTCCTGATAATCCTTAATACAATGTCTACATGCCACTTCATTCTTGTGGATTTAGTATTGTACTTAGTGCGTGGCAAGTGCAAGTTAGGCTTTTTGGAATCTGTGGAATTTTTTTTTCCTCCAAATATTTTCAGCCCAAAGTTGATTGAATTTGCAGGTCAAAAATATTCAGAAAAAAAAAAAAAAACCTGTGTCTGTACTAAACATGGTCAGATGTTTTTCTTGTCAGTATTCCCTAAGC